TGGGAAGGCGGCCTGTGCTGACAGCGCCCACAGGCCCTCACCTCTCCAGGTTGGTTTCTGCTTTTAACCAGCCAGCCATGCTGGGTAACTGCCCATGCTCCTCCCCTTAAAGGTGAACAACACAGATTTCTAAACATCCACACAAAATCTCCCTCCCTTATACGATCCCAAGGAAGAAAACACTTCACTGCCCTTCACATATGCAGCGAGCCCTACACATTAACGTGTTCGAGCCAGATGTGGGTTCTGCAGGCTCTGAGCCACACACCTGGTTCCTCTGCCAAAGTGGGTGAGCTCACAAACATGGCGAAAGAGACCTTTCATTTGGAATCGTGACTCGTCCCTCAGTGTCCATCAGGCCCTCTCCGAGCAGGAATTTCTCGTGCTTCACCTTAGCCTAGATGTGACTAGATGGACACGGGCACTCCATGCACATTGTCCTCGGCGACTAAATTCCCGGAAAGTCTGAAGTTTAAAACAGAAACGTCTCTGAGCTAGCCCGAAACAGCATCTCAGCGTTAATTCCTCTTTCACGCTTGCAGAACTCCAGTGACTATGTCTGTTTTGTTGAAGCTGACAAAGACACGCAGGTGTCGCCCTGCTGAAAATAAGGAGAAATGTTGACTCAAAAGGGAAATGGTTGTGAAAGTGACCTGGCAGGTAGGAGGGTTAATTGGACAGACTGGCTCTTCCAACCCTACGGATGTGGTAGCTGAGGGGAATCGCTCTCAGGCCCAGCAGTCAAGAACAGAATTCTCGCTCTATTGACGTCAATGGGAGTTTTTCCACATTGAATTCCGTGGGGCTGGAACCTTTACAAGGCATCTTCATGCAGTAGTCAGTGGCGCTGGAACACTTTTAATACTGGGGGTGGTGAAAGCCAGCCCCCTTACCCCTGTTCACGCCCCTTCTCCCCCCACCCCCCGAGCTGGGGCTGGGAGCAGGGCTGTGTCTCCGGGGTGGGGGGACCTGGACAGAGGTGCTGGGGCCAGCAGCCAGGGCCCCACATAAAATTTGAGGGTGCTGTAGCACCCCCCGCGCTCCTCGTTCCCATGCCTATGGCAGCAGTACAGGATCTGTACCGACCCTGGCCAATAGAAACCGACCAGACGGGGGGCTAGAAACTGCCGTATGTAATAGGGTACGGTCAAGGCACTTTCTGTAACATTTGATTCTCACTCTGTTAACTTCAAGAAACAACTCTCGCTCCTTACCAAAGCCGGGTCCCTCCTTCGTGTGAGCGTTCTGGTCTCTTGTAGTGTTGCTCGTGTGCTCTGGCCTGCTTGTGTTGAAGTTCTAGCTCTCAGATCCTAGGATTCCTCGTTCAGAAGAAACAAATATGCTTGTAAAGAACTACAGGAGTTGGCAACTGGATACAACAGAAAAGGGAACTCTTCTGCCGGTCTCCCAGCCTCACTTGAACTTTCTTACACCTCCCGTTTGGGAAGAGGCTGGAAGCATTGACAGGGCACTGTTCTGTGGAGTCTCTGCTTTAGTTAGTTAGCGTCTCTTCTAAAGCATCTAACTAGGGGCTTTGGGCACAGTGAGTTAATCCACTAACCTTTCACCTCTGGAAAGCTGGGTTCATATCCTGCCATGTCACAGATGAAAGCAGTTAGGAGGGCTCGGTCCCATCTTAAGTCCTTTCTATCCATATCCCAAAACCACCCGGTTATTTGGCGTCTCTCTTTGATACACTTGGGACTAGAGCAGCAGGTCGGGCCGGAGGTGCTATAGAGATGGGCCCCCAGAATGAGGTTTTGCAAATCTGGATTGAAGTGCATTTGCAGAGAGAGAAGGCAGCATTATCTGACATTTAGTTTACTGAGAAGGCAAATCAAAGGGGACAAGATAGCGGTAAAGAAAATAACGAATGGTATCGAGGCCATCTGTCAGATGCTTCCAGTTACTCTTACTCATGAGAACAAAACCCCCAGTAAAATTAAAAGGCAAAAAAAATTGATGAAACAAAATATTCTTTTAAAAATACGAAGCATAATGAACCGGAGGAATTTGCAGCCCCAAGTTATCAGTGAGGCAAAGAGCTAAGGATTAGACACCCTTAGGAACAATAAAAATACAATCTGCGTTCCCACGAGTTTGGGTAGAGAATTACAGGGGCTGTGTTCCTGTGTGCCTCAGGACATAAAGCACTGCTCTCTGCCTGGGAGTAGGAAGAAATTTCCCCCTTGGGCATGTTATTGCCTTGTCTTCTAGGAAAGTTCTACACCTTGTTCTGAAAGACCTGATATTGATCACACTTCAAGATAGGCTCCTGGACGAGAGGGACCATTGGCCTGATGTGTTACAGCAACACCTGTGTCCCAGTGACATCTGCCCATATGCTTGCATGCCTCTACCTACTGCCTATAAATCTCGGACTTTCCTTTGCAATGTGATATGCACAAAAGAAAAGTAAAGAATCTGACCTGATACATTTTACTGCCCTTAGCGTTTGCCAGACTGGTTCAGTTAACCTGGTTAAGTGTTGTAATTACCTTTTCCGCCACCAGTCACAAGAGAAGTTTGCTGTAGAAGTGTGGGCACTGATGACCGTACACGTACCAGGTTGCCAGGAATGCGTTTCTGCTTCCCAAATGATTCACTGAAAACTAGGCTTGTAGACTCGAGGTGGTTATTGTATCTTGCACGGAGTTTATGGCTCTGACAGAAACCAGTGATGTTTTCCTTTCGCTGATGAGCTATTTGAACCCTGCCACCCCTGTTTGGTTTGGTTTACCCTTTAGAAACACCTGTTTTACACAGCAGATGGAACATACAACTGGTTACCTGCACAACGCTGCTTCACTCCTTAGTCTGACTGACAGCCAGCTGGTACCAGCTGCCATAAAGGGACCAATGTTGCCATCTGCTGGTTGAACTGCACCAAAGCAGCTTTAACCTTATCCAACTTGACCACTTTCCTCTCTGAAATGTATTGTCATGGATATGTATTAAATGAACCCAGCTTCCATTCTGTGATGGCCACCGCGTTACCTGCAGCACTCGTCACTCCTGTCAGGGCTTGCGTGTAAATTTTAGAAACTAAAATAAAATGGTAGTTGGCCCAACATTAGCGTTTGTTCTTTACAGTGCTAGTGATTTATTGGTGACCCTCTCCCAGTCCCTTTCCCGGGTTTACCCCAGTGTCCTTTTCTAACCTGTCTGGTAGGGAAGCTGTCAGCCCTTTGGGAATAGCGTCCCTTAAGCTGTCTGTGTGCACAGAAATCAGGAGGTTGGCCTATTAGCTCCACGGTCCGTAAGGAGAGTCCACAGCGCTGCTCCTGGTAGAAGTTCTGATCCATTACAGATGAGCATTTTCACTGCTGATGTGGGGATGTCAAAGGTTAACCGGTTAACCAGTTAGCATTGGGCTTGCTGTTAACTGGACCTTAACTGTTAACCCGGGCAGCCGCGCCAGGTCAGCCAGCTGGAGGGACCTCAGTCCCGGCCAGGCCAGCAGAACCTCAGCCCCGGTGGGACCCCAGACCCTGCCACCTTGCACCAGCCCACCAGAGGAACCCCAGCCCCTGCCGTGCCAGGGCAGCCGGAGCGACCTCGGTTAACCGGTTTAACGATTTTTTTATTGTTGAACTGGTTAACTTTTTTAACCACTATTTACATCCCTATGCTGATTACAGCTGTAATTTGCTTATTCCTCCTCTGGGTTTGTCTTTAATTATTTCCTTTTTCTATTGGGTCCTGCACAAGTGCAATCGGTTGACCACACAATAAGTCTGGGCATGCGCTATTATTGTAGTATAGCCCAGGAATACCGTGTAGTGTGATGCACATGTTGCTCATTAACCTCAGTAGCACACACAGTAAAACTCCCCAGTGGTCTCCATTGTTGGTTTCTAAGTCACAGAGCACAACAAAGTACTGTGCCTCGTCCTGCAAATCTGCCACAAAGGCACTTGGGCTCCACCGCAAGGGACTTCTCCAAATTGCTGTGCCGTGGCCACTTGGCATGCAGGAGCTGCGCTCCGATGCCAGCATAATTAGTGGCAATATGCATATGTTGTGCCGAGAGGGTGATGTTGCTTTTACAGCTCCCATTGTCATTTTTGGCAGTTAGCACAACTTGAGAAATCCACCCAATACGTGGAGCAAATGGTGGAAGGCCCAATTAAACACATTTCTCTGTTTGTCCAAGCCTGCTAAACACCTCTCCTGTGACACAGTCCTGCAGCAAGAAGAGCGTAGCCCGTGACCCCGTTAGGAGCATCGTTCGTGCTATGGTTTTCGCTTTGTCCGGTGTGCGGCTCGTGAGGTTTTCCTCCAGTGACTGTGTTTTCAGTGGGAGTAAGAGGAGCGTTCAGGCTGGCTTGGGTTGATCTCCAGGAGCGTCCCCCATAGAGCAGAGCTAACGGGGGAGAAGCCACGGCTAACCCCGGTGCTGTCTTTGTCGTTCATTCAGCCCTGCACTTAGAAAAGCTGCTTGGCTTTTCCGGCCATCTGTCTGCGTTTCCAGCTGTGCACTCAGCGAACACTAAGGCAGATTCGTAGTGTGGAAATTCGCCGGAAACTCTTGTAGCTGTGCTGACCACACATGTTGTTCTCAGGGTGGGAGACTGAAGTATGGGGGGGGGCACCATGTTTCCTCTGGCTCAGGACGACAGCTATCTGTGTTTGTCTTCCGTGCTATCACTCACACCACATTTGCTTTTCTTGTCAAGTGTTTCAGGAGATACAATGACCTGTAGCGGGATTATTTTATTGTAATTTGAGCTGTCCATTTATCGCTGGCTTCTGCTTGTCTGCACCACTGGGATGGCCCACAAGAACCTCAGCTGGAGAGGGAGGATTTGGGGGGGTTTGCTGGTATCCCAGGTCTAATCTTCCTCTTAAGCCACTACTAATAACCGCTCTCCTATGTGTTCACGCTGCACTAGCTCCCAGCATTGAGTACAACCTGGGGTGTGTGTTGATTAAGGTTGGCACTTCATGTCCCCAGGGGCTTCCTGCTTTAACCCTCATGATGCCTCTTCTTGCTGCAGGCTGGTGGAAGAATTTATGCTGCTGGCGAACATGGCCGTCGCCCATCAGATCTACCGCTCCTTCCCCCAACAGGCCTTGCTGCGCCGTCACCCCCCACCCCAGACCAAGATGCTGAACGACCTCATGGAGTTCTGCGACCAGATGGGACTGGAGATAGATTTCAGCAGCGCAGGAGCCCTGCACGTGAGTGGAGACCACACCGGGGATTTGCGCCAAGGGCGAATGTCTAGATGGTGAAGCTCTCCTGGGGTTACTGATACTTTCTCCGACAGCATTTGTGTAATGGCCTGTGGTTACCTGCTCTCCATTCCCTGGGTGAACTGCCCTGTCTTCTGCACAGGGCTGCAGCTGACACTGCACAGCTGGCCAAGGGGGAGTCCAGGGGAGTTTGGAGATGAGGAGCACCTTTGTAGGCACACACTGGGCATAAAGAACAGGGTATGCATTGCCACATGAGTCCTCCATCAGAAACCCTCCTGCCCTGTCTTCAGCCAGGTGGCAGGATTCGGGGGGCAGGTCTCTGTGCTCCACTAGAGCCAGCCTCTCAGAAAAGTCTGGTAATACCCTCCTGTCTCAAACCGGGGCTCCCAACAAACACCTCGTGCAGAGAAACGTGATGTTCTTCACAGAGCATAAAAATGAAGCCACTGGCCGCTGCTGGGACAGTCTCGCCTCTCTCCCCCACCCCCAATAGCAGGAGTTTGGGTGTGAGGGGGGCTCAGGGCTGGGGGTTAGGGTGCTTTCCTGGTGGGGAGGCTCTCTGGAAGGACGACAGCAGCTCCCCTCCCTCTGCCCGCAGGCACCCACCCCCACAGCACCCATTAGCCGCAGTCCCTGGCCACTGGGAACTGCAGAACCGGGGCGTGGGGTGGAGCGGAGGCAGCACATGGAGCTAGGAGCTGGGGTCCCCGCTTCCCAGGAGCTGGGTAGGGAGCCTGCCCCAGCCCCCTCCCCCCCTCGGCCACAACCCTCCCCCTCCCCAGGCTGTGACTTCCCCTCCCCGGGCCATGACTCCCCACAGAGCACCCACGTCCTCCCAGAGCACCCGCAGCAGCCCCCTTGGGCCGCCACCCCCCCCAGCACCCGCGACGCCCCCGGGCCGCGACTCACCCGAGCACCCGTGGTGGCCTCCTGGGCCATCAACCCTACCTCCCCCCCCCCAGCACTCACGCCACACCCCCCCAGGACACGCCACCCCCCCATGAGCACCCGCGGCGCCCTCCTGGGCCGTGACACCCCCCACGAGCACCCGCAGCACCCCCCGGGGCTGCCCTCCCAAGCTGCCCCCCCCCACCCCCTCCTGGTTTTAGTCAGGGGTATATAGTAAAAGTCATGGACAGGTCACAGGCCGTGAATTTTTGTTTACTGCCCATGACCTGTCCATGACTTTTACTAAAAATACCCGGACTAAAACATAGCCTTAGCTATGAGTGCCTATGACAGAGGGTAGCCTCAGAGCGCCAGAATATGCTGCTGCATGTCCAGTCGTGCCCTGACGGATGGGTAATGATTCCATCTGGACCAAAGCCCCCGTTTGCAGGCATGACGCCCTTAGGGGGATGTAAACCAGCACGCTCCCTGGGGAGGGGAAGGAAAGGCTGGGGCAGAAGCAGAGAGGTTGCCGACGAGGCTATAGCGTGTTTTGTGTGTTCGGGCAGCCTGCCGTTTCTGTCGCTGGTTAGCTCTGCTCTCACCAGCCAGTGGTTGCAGGAAAGCAATTTCTGCATAGAAAGATGATGGTTTCAGGGGTGGGACTGGAGCCCCATGCCGGGAAATCGCGTGTGCTGTATATGCAAGGAAGGGCATAAGACGGTTCTGCAGATTAACGCCCTCCGCAGCCCAAGCCATGAAGCGTCACCTCAGCTCGAAAGTGAAGCGTGGGCTCCGGTATTTTCTTTTTCATTGCCCCTAGACGGCTGGTGATCCTGTTAATACAGCCCATCATCCGCCTCCCTCGTGCTGTTCTGTTAGGGGCGGCCCATGGCCCCTCTGGGACTTGCACAGTGCTCCTTGTCGGGGACTCTGAAGACAGGGGGATGCTTTTCCTCCGAGCTTTGAGCGTGTAGGGCCTTTCCAACGAGGAGGAGGCCGTGCTGCTTGTTACTAGCCTAGTACAATGGCTTCAGACTGATGCATCCCTCAGACCTCTACACGGTGTGTTGAGCTTGGCTGCGTGGGAGGGAAGTGGTCACAAGGCCCTGGGGTTTGACCTGCGGGTTGAGAGGGAGAGGTTAAAAGTCCATCTCTCTGAATGTTCGGAGATAGTCCCTTGGCTTCTCTGCCCCACATGGGCAGATGCTGAGCAGTATCATAAATGACGGCAATATACAGAAACGGTGTCCACAACCTAATGATTGCAGGCAGCCCTGTCGTAGCCAACCAGGCTGTGAGCACCCAGCTGGGACCAGCCCGGCTGCCGGGACCATGAAAGGCCCTGCTGTAGCCAGTGCATAGGGAGGAAACATACTTTGTGAGGAAAACATTTCCGTTTCCCATCTCTAAGAGATGGGTGTAAACGGGGAAGAGAGGACTTTGGTTGTAAAGTGTCTGCACTTTCTGAAATCCCCGGAGCAGTAAGACAGCAGCAAAGAGCAGGACATGTTTGTTCTCTCCCCGAGCCTTTCATCTGGTTGTCTTTCCCCCCTTCTCTCCTTCCAGAAAAGTCTGAATGAAACGTTTGGTGCAGACAGCTATGCAGAGGCCAGGAAAGAAGTGCTGACCAACATGTTCTCCAGGCCAATGCAGGTAAGAGACGCCAGGTCACAATGTGCTTATCCCTGTGCGACCAGCACCAGAACGTTTTCAGGCTTGTCGCCACCTGCTTTGCGTTTACTGCCCAGATCAGTGCGCCTTCCCCTCTCCCGAAATCCCCCCCCTGCACTGATAGTTTAAACTGTTACGTGGGGGGGAAGGGAGATGAAGAAGCGAAGCGCAGTCACTGGTAACTCCCGGAAGCCCCAAAGCATTGCATGACCCAGATTTATACCCCATGTGTCCAGTAAGAGAGGCCTGCCCGGTTACTTATGGGCTGGGTTCACTGGTCAATGCGTGCTGACCCGCTGAGATTGATGGGTTCAGCGTTGCTCCTTGGACTCTCCCTCAAAAGGCACATCCAGGAGGCTCTTACAACGGCTGCCGCCCCCACAGGCACAGTTCTGGGGATTTCACACAGGAGGCCATAAAGGGTTTAAGTGACTGCTCGGCAAGGGCAAGGATGGCAGGGTCCAGATCCCCATTGACCCCAGGGGATTGGGTCAGGCCTAGTCGCCCTGCTAAAACCTCCTCTCGTGACATCAGTAGCAATTTCCTTCCTAAAGAACAGTTCAGGTGCCTGGACTGCTGAGGGGCCAGGGAACTGGGGTCACTGGTTGAAAGCCCAGCCCAGGTCAGACCCTATAACAGCTGTTTGGTCCAACTTCAATGAATTAGTCTCAGTTCAGAGTAAACAGGCATCCCCATCAAAACCCAGCATTGCCTTGCCCTTGTAAGCAGAGAGGCCCAGGTGTGAGTGGGCCACGGAGACCCATCCATCTCTAGAGATGGTCTCTTTGGGGTAGGTGGCAGAACTGGCAGGAGGGGAGCTTGCCGTGCTACGGGTCTGCTGGCTCTGTTGTGATGCCCCGTGAACAGCTAATCCGGTGCGTTTCATCAGCACAGAATTAACGAAAAGAAAACACAGTATAAGTTTTGTCACGTCTCCGCCTTGTTAACTCGGCCGCAGCGCGAAGGGTGGCTGGTTCTGAGAGCGCAGCCCACCAGCAGGGAGAAGGTGACACGTTCCTCAAAACGGCCTCTCTGCCACTGAGTGTTTATCACCGCAGGAATACATCATCTTCCTGACATTACTCATTTGACTGTCACTCTTCTAATTAGTTAATTTGCTCCATTTACTCATTAGCAGTTGCCTGAAGTCCTGTTGTACCTTAGCGGCTTAATGCTTGTTTGCAAATGTAGCTGGGGAGGCTCTGATGGCAATTAGCACAAACCGTGTGGTAATTATCCCCCACACGCACGTTGGACTCATTAGTACAGTTTGCTGCTGTGCAGTTCTCCCCTCTTTAGCTGGGTGTGTTTTTCCAGCATGTTTCTCTAGATAACGTCCCTTTGTCTGGCTTTCACATGTCTCCAACACCGGGGGCATGGATGGCTTCCTTTCCCCTTCAATGGGACGTACTGTCAAAGTTGAATCCTATTGGTAGCGTCTGTTACATGGGTTACCCCTCCAGCTTGCTGCTGGATAGTGTTGTGTCAAGGCCCCGAGTCTTCTCCCCAGATACCAGACTGTCTGGTGCTTTGAACAGCCGGGCGAAAGGAGACTGGTCACGTGGGCAGGCATGGCCCAGGATGGGGCAGTGAGAACTTTCTGAACTGTATGTTCTTGTTCAAGGGCTAATTTTTCTTTAAGCCATATGGAAGGCCTGCCGGAGCGTGGAGGAGGGGAGTAAACTTGGAGCCCCTCCTGCTCTCCACCACCAGGTACCTCGGCACGTTCGGCAAACTCACCTGCCACACAAGCACATGCCTTGGCAGCAGCCGGATTTGCAGCATCTGCCCATCGTTGACCATGATACAGAGCCTATCCTTCCTCGATGAGGAGTTCCGTATGACTCAAAACCACGGAGGAAGGCCTTTGGGAGCTAGGTTCTGGTGGAGGGGTGGCTGGGTAGTGTCTCATTCAAACCATTTCCTAACGGAGCTGGTGATTTGGAAGACTCGTTTACTCTTCAGCTTCCTTTCGCCATGGTCCCAAAATGAAAACGTGCCACGTTTCCTTTGCTCCTGGTGCTGCCAGCGAGGGCCAGCCTGGCCGTCGCAGAGGAGGGGTGAGCACAGCCGTAATTAAATAGATTCCGAGCTTGAGCAAAGCAGGACATGAGGAGGTTTGCTCCTAGCCAAGCGGCAGTTTTTTCCCAAGGCTGCGACACAGTTAAGTGTCAGTTTTAGACTCTTCAGTCTGTCCTCTGTGAAGCAGCTGGTGTCTTTTTTGAATGCCTCCACGTATCCTGCTAGTGAAGGCAGGGGGCTGGACTCGATGACCTTTCAAGGTCCCTTCCAGTTCTAGGAGATAGGATATCTCCATTAATTTAATTTAATTTAATTTAAAAATCTGCAAGGGATATTGCGAGAGTAGTGTGCTGAAATGGGGCAAGGGTCTGGGACTATGGTTGCCCGTAAAATGCCCACATCTGTCCTACAATCCCTCATTATGAGAGGGCCCTCTCTGTTCTGAGGAAATTTCCAAGACTCCAGATTTCTGATCAGAGGGCCCCTCTGCCCTGCTTCTTACATAACTGCTAAGGAGAGCATTGTAATGAAGTCTGTTTGGAAGGATTGGCCAGGAAGGAGAGACCTTTCCAACTTATAGATGTTAATGGATCAAGGCGAGCTTATGAAAGGAAAGGCGTTTTGGAAGGAGAACTCTAACTGTATGTGATGTCAGAAGGAAGCTAGACCTGCATCAAAAACAATAGACCATAACTCTCTTCAGAAGTATGGCTATAGTCAGAAAAACGTCTATATGGAATTGCCCGTCTTGCTCAACAAGCCTGCTCCCTGGGTATATTCTGTGTTGCATCTTGCTGCCTCCACTGGCAAAAATAAGTTTACAGTTGAACTCCCGTTAGCCCTACAGAGCCAACCCCGCTCTGGGGAAGTGAGCTGGATTTGATTCTGGCTAGTGTATCGCCAACAGAACTAGTACCTTATGTTCTGGGGGTAGACCCTTCATTCCTGCTAATGGAGGATGGAGTCCAGCTAGACTTTGGCTCCCAAGGTGACTTTACAGGGCTGGCTCTTCGCACAACCATCTTTTAACTTGTAAACAGAGAATTGCTACGGAATCACCAACACCCCCCTCCGCCCCCAGGCACGGAAACCTACAATGCCATTTTTAGAGTCACTTTGCAAGTAGATCCTGCATGTGGGTGGGTGTATTCATGTGCACCTGCCTTTTAGCAAACAAATCGTCGCCTGAATGGAAGGAGCACTGCGTCACACACAGGCAAGACTGGTAGAGGTAAACCATTTCCATTTGTTTCTGTCTCAGCAGATTGATCTGCAATTAGCAACGTTGGCCAGGAGCACGCTGGAGTTTTCCAGCTTGGTTGCTCCATGACTTGACTTAAGAAGGTCCTCCCAGGTTACTGAGCTCTCAACTAAGAGTGTCTGATCCTCTGTCACTCGAGGAAGTACGAAAGGCCATCCAAAGGTTACGGAATGGCCGTGCCGATGGTATTCCACCTGAGCTGCTCAAAGGCCTTTGGCCTCCGTCGACTGCTCTTTAAAAGTGTGGGCATCAGAGTGTCAGCAGAACGGGAAGACGGCTTCGTAGTGTCTTTGTACAGGGCAAAGGATCTCGCACCGAGTGCAGCAACTACAGGTCGATCTCATTGCTATCAGTCCCTAGAGAGGTCTTCGCTCTCGGCTCTTTGCTAGGATGCAGCGAATGCTCCTGAACAGACTTGGTGTCCACGGCAATCAGGTTTCACTGCTGGGTGGTTGATAATGAATGCTTCCCTTACGCTACAGCTTCCAGCTGAGTGGCACTGAGAATTTAATTGCTTGCTTCACGTGGCGTATATCGACATCGAAGTGGCTTTTGATTCTGCTGACAGATCAGCCCTTTGGCTCGCACTGAAAGGAGTTGGCGCCCCGGATGTTCTACCAAATCTGGTGCCCGATCTTTATACCGGTGTGAGAGTGCGCATTGGTTCACGGCTTTTGCCGCGTTTCTACACAACCTCAGGTGTGCAGCAGGGGATGCATTCTCACCCTGGCGTTATGCTGCCAAGCTACCAGCCGGATCTTAGACTTGCTGCTCCACACGTTGGAATCAGGGTTGGTCAAGAAGCGTTCACTGACCAAGACTGTGCCGACAGCATCTGCCTTGTGGAGAAGCAAAAGAGTTCCCGCCCTGCCCCTCAAGCTTCCCAAGACACAGCCCGCACCATGGGGTTGAGCATCTCATAGCAGAAGACCAAGGTCTAGAATTTGGAGCGGGGCCACCAGAGCCCCTCCAGTGCAGGTGGGGTCGAGCACGGATGAGTTCAACTCCCTAAACTGCAAGCCAAGTCCAAATGGTTGCAGTAAACAGGCTGTCCTTCGACCACTAGGTCTCGCTGTCTCCTGCATGAAGTCCAAGTCTTGCTATGGATGCAAAAACTTCTCTATACCGAGACTAAGTCCAGGATCTATCGGGCCTGTGTACCACCTGTATTGCTCTACAGGTCAGAAACCCGGACCGCTTACAGGCAGAGTTGGAGAAGTTAGAGGCATTCCATACGCGCTGTTTGACTTTGTATGAAATGCCATAATCTCAGAGAATGTGGAAGGTGAGGAACATGACAAATGAATAGAGAAACTAGCTTTGTAAGGGTCACAGGCCATGAATAAGTCTCTGCTTTCCTTGGAGACAGAGCTGTTGTCTGGGCTGTCAGACATCTGGACAAGCCATGTCTGTGTTCAGGGGAGCATATCTGTACCTCGATTCTCCTTGGGAAAGGGACACTTCCAGTTTCTGCCTCCAAGTGGCTGGGGCTGCCTGGGATTCAGGGCATCCCAGTGCAAACACCACAGACCCTGCTTTCCAAGGGGTGCCAGGCGAGTGCCATCTGGGATTGACACAAACACTTCCCAGGCTGCCTGTTTGCAAGCACGTAGATGGGTTCATGTGGGTGCATGGGGCCCGGGGATGGGGGTGAATTTTAGGGGCACGCCCGCTGTGCTTGCAGCCTGTGACATTTATT